AAAGTGAATCATTAGAAGAACCAGCCCAAATATGACAACAGTATTCCATACAGGGACGAATAAGAGACTTGTAGAGGTAGAGAATGGAATCAGAAGTATAGAAATGGCGAGCACGATAAAGAGAAGCAACCTTAGCAGAAGCTAATTTAGCAATCGATTGTATATATGGTTTCCATGAAAGGTCAGTAGTAAACGATAATCCAAGAAGAGGAGGACTCAGTAAGAGGATTGCCATTCATTAATATAGGAATGTTGACCATATTTTGGTAGTTGTTTGCAGTAAGCAACTGGGTTTTTTTAGAGTTGAAATTCACAACTATTAATCTATTACTGAAGTGAGATCGGATTCAAGATCAGCTGCTTGTTCTAGGCGATCGAAAAGAGAAGACTTTTTGTCAAGACAGGAGTATAAAGTTGAGTCATCAGCAAAAAGAGCTACTTTAGATGAAAGGTTGTCAGGAAGATCTTTTATGTAGATAAAAAACAAAACAGGGCCCAGGATGGAACCTTGGGGAACCCCAGAAGTTACTGGAAATAAAGAAGAGTGTTGGCCTTCAAGGATGACTTTAATAAACCAATTAGAAAGAAATGACTTGATAATCTCAAAAACTTTCCCAGAAACACCATATGAAGCAAGCTTATGGAGAAGACCAGCATGCCAAACTTTGTCGAAAGCTTTGGATATGTCGAGAGCAATAGCCCTAGCCTCACCCCCTCCATCTAATGCACGATAAAATCTTTCAGTTACAGCAGTTAGCAAGTCGGCCGTAGAGCGAGAGGATCGAAAACTGTATTGATTGTCTGACAGTAGTTTACCTGACTCAAGATGAGATGTGAGGAATTTGTTGATCAAAGACTCAAAGACCTTGCTAATAACAGAAAGAAGACTGATCGAACGATAACTGGAGGGGTCAGAATTTTCTCCAGAGTTTTTGAATATTGGAACCACAGATGCCTTTTTCCAACAAGCAGGAAAACAAGACTCAGTCAAACACTTGTTAAATAGTTTAGAGAGAATTGAAGAAAGTTCTGGAGAACAATTCTGCAAGACTGTGACAGGATTGTTGTCTGGACCACAAGCTGTAGACGAGTTTAACTGAGATATGACTTTAGCAACAGAAGCTGGAGTGATTTGAATGTCTAACAATGGGTCAACCTGTTTGACTGGAATGGGAGGAAGAGAATGTCCATAAGATTCAAGAGTGGAATTAGAAGAAAAGTTCTTTGCAAATAGTTCTGCCTTGTCCTTGGGAGAGGTAATAAGATCACCCTTGTTAATAATGCTGTTGAAGATTTTCCAAAAGTCTTTAGAGCCTAGCTTCTGCGATAAGATGCAAGATTTAGTGAACTGAGAATAATGAAGTTTAGCATCAGAAAGCACCTTTTTACATTGATTTCTTGCAATAATAAATAGCCGTTTGTTCTCAAGAGAGTTGTTCTTTTGAAAAAGATGAAAAAAATGATTACGATTGGATATAGCAGCTGCAAAAGAAGGAGAAAACCATGGAGTAGAATGCTAGGGTCAGAGACAAGACATAAGTCAAGGAGTGAAGGTAAATGATTAGGGTTGTCAGGAAAACGAGTCACAAAGTTAACTATCTGAGTAAGAGATTGAGAAACGCAGAAGTTAAAGGCTTTAGTGCCAGCAGGATCAGTGGTGTTAGAGCCAAGCCATTCAGTGTGATGGGCATTAAAATCACCAACAACAACAATATTGGCAGAGGGGTAAAGAGAGAGGGCATGGTCAATTTGATCAGAGATAACATCTAAAAGAGTGCAATCATGGGAAGGAGAATGATAAAGAACAAAGAGAAAGGTGATAGAGTGAAGAGGTGCTAGGCGAAAGCACATAAAAGAATGGTCAAAGGATTCGAACCTGATTTCACGACAAATAGGGGAATTAATGCGTATGTATACCCCTAAACCTAGCATGTGACTATTGGAGTCTTTACGAATCAAAAGATAGTACCCATCAACACTGACATCTGAAAAAGGAATTGCAGAATTTAAATTTGTTTCACTGAGTGCAAGCAAGTCTGGTGAATTTTGCAGGAGGCAAGACTTAACTGATGGAAAGTTGCTTTGTAGACCGCGAATATTTGTAAAAGATATATTAAAATATTTAGGTGGTGGAGATGGTTTTTTAGGTTTTAAATTTTTGGTTACTTTGGTCATGATTTGGGTTTAATGAGAACTTGACTCATTCATAGATAGAGCACAGCCTCCTAATCAATGAGCTATGCAGTTGTCTCAGTCCTGTTAATTAACCCTAAGCCGTAACATAGGGCTACTTATGTGGCCTTGACAATGCACACCAAAGGCATTAACAGGGACACCACCCATGCGCAACATGGCACTGTTAATACTCTGATATTTTGCAGCTGTCGATGGAATCAGCTTCTCTGAGAGCTACCACAGAGTTCGGGTAAACCTTACTACCAACCGACCTCAGAACCATTAAACTGAGTTTTAGAGCTGTACCCTCATATGGAGATAACAGGAAGAGTTGCATAGCCATTATCAAGGAGGCATAAGCAAAATTCTATGAGTAGAGTCAAGGAGATCCAGCATTCATCCTCCTAGGCAGGAAACAATGTAACACAGGTTGCATCTACGCCAGCCTAATAGATGAAGAAGGGGTTCGAGGCTGGTTAGCAGAATTTTTCTGCTTACCCCTAAAGTCTTTGCCTAGGAGGCCTTCTACAAGACAGTAGCTGGATGCAGTTAACATCTGCCCAAGATGAGTATTTTTATCGAGACACCATCTCTAGCCTTTACTCGACCAAGAGCCCCAAGGCAGGGGAATTTTTAGTTGGAGTTTATTTCTCCTAGCCTTTGCCTAAGAAGAGCACACTCTGCAAGGCAGCAGGGCTTGTGGCAGGTGGTACTGGGTTATGCGATACCAGTAGCAAGATTGATCTCGATTATCTTGACTTGACCTGGGTCAGATCAAATGGGCCAGATTATCCTGACCTGGGTCAGATCAAATATATCTAAATATACATTTAGATATATTTGAGTTTTAAAAGGAAAAATATCCAGAAAATAGTTTTAGAAAAAATGAGACACTTGTTGAAAGTGAGAAAAAACCATTAGTAAATAAAAAGGGCCCACTGTGTTGTGTTTATAAGGCTATATTTTTTTCCACTGTGTTGTGTTTATAAGTCTGAAATTTTTATAGAGTTTGAAGCAATCTGAATTATCTAACTACCGTCCAATTAGTCTTCCTCCTATCATAAGCAAGGTTTTTGAGTTTTTAATTAAAAACACTTAACCTCTTATCTTGAATCTAATAACTTACTTTCTGAACATCAATATGGATTTCAATCTTCTCATTCTACTACTGATTTGTTAACAGTAATAACTGATAGGTTTTATTGTGCATTAAATAGGTGTAAAGAGAAGTTGAGGCTATCGTTATTGACATTTCTGAAGTACTTGATAAAGTTTGGTATGCAAGTCATATCCATAAACTCTCTTGTTAAGGTGCATCAACTAACATCTTTAAGCTTACCAATTGTCGTATAAAAATTGCTATTGATGGACAGCATTCCTCTTTATATTTTTCTTTAAGCTTGAAAAGGAACTCACTTCTGCTACCAAATGGGGCTAAATGGCTGGTAAACATTTAACACAAATAAAACTGTTTTTTTTTTTACTAATCATTATCACAACAATCTAGATCTTCCTATACTTATGAATAGTAATGTACTCGATAAGTCACCTACTCTTCATATTCTAGGATTAAAAATTACTTCTAATCTTGGAAACCATATATCGAATCCATTGCAAAATTAGCATCTGCTAAGGTTGCATCTCTTTATCATGTTCGCCACTTTCTTACACAGGATTCTATTCTTTATCTCTATAAATCTTAAATCTATTCTAGTATAAAATACTTTTGTTTTATCTGGGGCAGATCTTCCTCTTATAGACAGGGTGCAAAAACGCATTGCAAACATGATTGGACCTGCACTTGCAGCAAACTCCAACAATTATCACATTGTCATAATATTGCTTCTCTTTCTCTTTTCTATAAATATTATAATGGGTGTTGCTCTAAAGAGCTTTGGAACTTGCTCCCTACTTCTTCTTTTCTTGATTCATGCAATTTGCAATCTTTTAAGTTGTCCATTAATCATTATCTTGCTTTATAAACTTAATCTTTTCTCGTACAGTAACTTCCAATTCTAAAAGTGGTTGCTTGCAACCTAGTTGGAAGTGAAGATTTAAAAAAAAATTGGCTTAAAAAATAACAAACTCAATCTCAACATACAAAAACCTATAGTCATGCTTATTATTAAATTCTAAAATGTGACTGGTTGCCTAAAAAAATAAAATTAATAAAATTAAAATATTGAACTATTGTAAACAAAGAATAAATTACAAATATTGTGTTTTATTATGAAGTATTACTAACTGGAAATAAAATAATAAAGTCATTTTATGTAAAGAATTTATACATTATAATGTGTGACTCACATATGACAAGCAAGTAATTTTTAAATGTTACCAAATGAATAGTGCAGGGCAGAAGTTATTATTTGTTAATGATTAAAAAATTTGTTATGAAATAACTCAAAAAATTTGTTTAAACATGAAAGAAAATTATCTAACAAAATACATTTAACTCCAGGGTTTTTTTAACTAGTATTAATTTGCTAAATAAAATAATAATAATAAGAAGAAGAAGAAGAAACAGAATCAACAGTAACGCATTGATTGGAAAATATTGTATAGATAATACTGCAACTTAGTGTATCACATTCCAATATGTTGATCCTTTTTTTAACATACTATTATTAACAAATATGTATAATCTATGATCTATAGGTTTTACTTGTCTATATTATAGACTATAATATAGTAAATTTATAGATGTTGAGCTTTTTTGTAATTTACACTCATAAAACTTCTATTGACAGTTTAAAATTTAGATGTAATAGTTACATTAATTTTTTTATTCTTGTTATTTATTTTTTATTCTTGTTGTTACAAACCTTTTATTTGGATTTGTTATTCCTTTGCATGCTTTTTCCAGTAATAATTAGTAAACATTGAACAACTTAGTCATTAGAAATACTCATATCTAAATAACACCAAAAGTGTTAAAAAAATTAGTTTGTTAATTTGCATGATTTTATCAGTAATAATAAGTAAGCATTAAATAACCTAGTGACTATAAGTATCTATATCTTAATAATAACGAAAATAATACAAAGTTAGTTTATTATTTCACATTATTTTTCCAGTAAAAATCAGTAAAGACTAAATAACCTAGTTACAATAAGTACCCATATCATAATAACATTAAAAATGATACAAAGTTAGTTTGTTAATATATATTAAAATCTTATGCAATTATATTTAAAGAAATCCGCAACAATAATCAATTAGTACACAGTGGGTATATAACGTCCAAGGACGTCAATTATTATGGACGATCAAATTAGTCAGGTCGTCCGCGACTTTATCGGCAAACGCGCAATGCATTGTGGTGGTTACATTCATTCAAATCGAGATAATCCAATAAAGTTTTTTTTAAATAAGTATTATTATTAGTTGAAAAAACAGACAGTCCAATATCCAATATTTATATTTGAACAGTAATAGAAATGAAAAGTTTTGTTATAATATTTTTATTATGAATAAATTTGTATTTCTTCAAATTTGAGTAACATATCTTGAGTAAATATATGTTAACTATATACAATTTCGCTAACGTTGTACAATTAGTAATAGTACATACAGTGAAATCCCGATATCTCGAACCCCGGATAACTCGAACTTTCAGTAACTCGACCAACTTTTGAATTCCCCTTGAACCCTCACTAATACTTTCACATAAAAACAGCTCGATAACTCGAACACCCGTTAACTCGAACATTCGCTCAGTCGAACCATTTTATCTGTTCCCATGGCTAATATTTTTCCGATAACTCGAACTTTAGAGCAAAAATATGAAAAAAAACCTGCAATGAAGCCTTTGCATTGCAATGTTAACGATAATAACAGTTTGATTAAGATTATAATTTAAGTTATATTAACGTGCGTTGCAATATTAAAATAAAATTTGTTTTGCTTACATTTTATTATGGCTACTGTCGCTGTAAAGAGAAAAATGAATACAAAATCAATTAAAGAAAAGTACGCTGCTTTAAGGGAAATTGGAGAAGGATTCTCAAAGTCTCAGGTTCCTATGAAATATGGCATTCCAAAAAATACGCTTTCAACATGGATCAAAAATAAAGAAAAAATTTTCGAATGTATGAAGACGCTAGGGAAAACGTATTTAATTAAATAGAATTAAACAAGGAACATTTTCAAATTTAGATAATCTTGTTTTTAAATGGCTTTTAAATGTAAGGAGTAGATACGTGGCAGTATCAGCAACAATTCTTTAAACAAAAGCCAGAGAACTCGCTGAAAAAATTAATATAAATGGATTTCAAGCGTCTGATGGTTGGCTTGATCGTTGGAAAAACAGGTATAATGTTTCTTTCAAGATGGTATGTGGAGAGGGTAACTCTTGTACAGCTGAAATGACCACGCCATGAAAGGAAACAAGTCTCCCTACAATTTTATCCAGGTATAAACTTGATGAAATTTATAATGCAGATGAATTTGGATTGTTTTTTCGTATGCAACCTAATAAGTTACTAAATCTTCAATCTGAGACGTGTATAGGGGGAAAGCACAGTAAAATTCGTCTTACAGGAATGGTCGCAGCAAGTGCAACGGGTGACAAAATTCATATGTTTGTAATAGGTAAATTAAAATTACCTCGCTTCTTCAAAGGATTTAAGCACTTACCTTGCAGATACAGAAATCAAAATAAAAGCTGGATGGATAGCGTACTGTTTGAAGAGTGGATACGAGAAATGGATACAAAGTTTACAAAAAAAAACAAAAAAGTAGCGTTCATAATAGATAACTGCCCATCACACCCGACGGTTGATAATCTAAAATCTATTGAGCTCATTTTTTCTATTGATAAAAAAAAAAGATCTTCCTGTTTTTTTAATTTTAGATGCAATGAAAATGCTTGATCTTGCATGGCAAAAAGTGAAAACCTTCACCATCATTAATTGTTTTGCAAAAGCAGGAATTTTCGAAGAACAGCAGAAATTTGTATATTCGGATGAAGACGACGACACCTTTAAAGGGGTTCAAAATCAGATAGAAAAACTTGATAATTTTTACCCTCCAGGTACAACAGCTGAAGATGTTATTTTTGCAGATGAAAACTTAATTAGCGCAGAACCTTTATCTACAGATGAACAGTTGATAGAAGAAGTTAAAAATGCAGCGAATAAACATGAAGCTAATGACGAGGAATATAATGATGATGATAATGCAACGGATCCAGTTTGCCCAAAAGTTAGTGATATTCTGGAGGCACTGCAAGTGTTGTATGTCTATATGCCCTTGAGTCTTATGGGTGAAGATTTGCAACAAAAGCTCAATGTAGTCTCGATTATATTCGATAGAGACGTTTCTTCAAAACTAAAACAGAGTGAGATTAGAACATTTTACAATTTATAATGGATTATTTTTACTTTTGAAATCAAAACTTTTAATAACTCGAATTGTGTTTACTCATCCGCAAAAGTTCGTGTTATAGAATGTTTTGATAACTCGAACATTCGCTAACTCGAACTATTTTCTAGGTCCCTTGGAGGTTCGAGATATCGGGAGTTCACTGTACTTTAGATTTTTTATTGACATAAGTTTTGCCGATAAATTATTTAATAAAAAAATCTATTGCTCTGGTCAATAAAACAATATAAGAGTTTGGTAGTGGAGCTCCAAACATAAGCCAAATATATAGTTTTAGTAGTATATAATCCCCCTAGAAAATTTGTTAGTTTTAATTTTTAAAACAATTTTTATCATAGTTTATATATTATTATATTATATGATTAAATATAATATACAGTGCTTCCAGAAAGTATTAGCGCACTCATTTTTTTTTTACCTCAGAGAACTTTAAAGGATTGTAATTCAAAAACAATAAAAGACTGATTGATAATTTTTTTTTTAACTAATTTATAAAATTATTCAGAAATACTAATTGTTAAATATATAAAAGTATTTCTTTATTATTATCTTGAATTTAATTAAAATACAATAGAGTGATAAAAGCAATAATAAAAAAGTGTGCAAAAGTATTAGCGCACTTACAATTTTTCAAAGATTTTAGGAAAGTTTAATATTTTATGTGACCACCTTTTTTTTTTAAGGCATGCCAAGACTCTACGCGGCATAGAATCTATAAGCTTTTTGATAAGTTCTTGTGGCATGGTATTCCACAACGCTTGCATTTGCGTTTTGAGCTGCACAAAGTTAGTGGGCCTGCTTTTTTGTAATTTGCAGTCCATCCAACTCTAAAGATTCTCAATAGGATTCAAATCAGGTGAGTGAGCGGGCCAAGACATCAGGTTCAACCGTTTTTCATTCATGTATTGCTTAATTGTGGTGTTAAAAGTGGAGTCAGCTTTGAAAATGTCCATTGATGGCTTTAAATAATCTTCTAATATCTCTCTATATCGATGTTGATTAAAGCGATCAGTGTAAAGATGCACCAGGTTATTGCTAGATCCAGCAATACAGCCATAAATACCAATTGAACCTCCTCCTCTATGAACTCTTGACATGATAAAACGAGGACTATATTTTTCGTTTTTGTATCTTCTCACGACAACTCTTTTTTTGCGATTAATAAGTTCAAAATTTGACTCGTCTGAGAAAATTACTTTTCTCCATTGCTCTACAGTCCATGCAGCTCTCTCTTTGCACCATTTTCTTTGCTTGAGACGGTCTTTGATGCTTAGTTGTGGCTTCTTTATAGCAAGGTCTGAACTGAGTTGTTTTTTTTTCATCAGCTTGCTAATTGTTGATCGGCTTACTTGATGTGCATCCATCGCTGTATTCAAGTCTGAGGCGATTTCAGTAATACTCATGTTCGAGTTGCGTCTAGCAAGCATAATTGCTTTATTTTAGTCCCTTTCTGACATTTTTTTGGGACGACCATAGCGATTTTTGTCTTCGACTAATCCAAACTCATTATAGTTTTTTTGCGTTGTTCTAACGCTGCATTCACAGATTTCAAGTTGACGTCCAATTTCTCGACTACTGAGACCACTTTTGTGCAGGCCAACAACTTGCCACTTTGTTTCAATTGATATGCTCTTTAAACCCATATTTTTGTTGTTCAAATTTTAAAGTTTTAACTAACTGAATTTCAAATGATATATCTGTCACTTCAACTTATGCTTCTTATATTTTTTATTGACTATTATTAACCCAGCAAACAAAAAGATATCTAAAATGCATCTAATATGCATCTAAAAACTGGTCTAAAAGATGTCTAAATTCAGGTCTAGAATGGGACATAAATAGACGTCTATCTTATAGACGTCTTTTAGGTGCATTTTATTCGACACAAATAATTGCCTTAAATGCATAAAGATGTGAAATATACATCTTACACATGCATATTAGATGTAAAAAATACGTCTCTTAAATAGATGTCTAGATGGCGCGTTTAAAAAAAATAGATAATAGATAATTTTTTAGCTAATAATAGCTCTTTTATGCATCTAATATACATCTTTAAATGTATATTTCACATCTTTTATGTGTGTCGAATAAAATGCATCTAAAAGACATCTATAAGATAGACATCTATTTATGTCCCGTTCACGACGTGAATTTAGAAGTCTTTTAGACCAATTTTTAGATGCATATTAGATGCATTTTAGATATCTTTTTGTTTGCTGGGACTTGTTTGATACAAAGGTGTTACAGCGGTTAAATTAGTCATAAAAAAGGATTAAATGAGTAAAGAAACATTTTAACTAACATTACTTAATTTTTATTTCACAAAAATATACATAAGAAACTATATTTCTGCATTGCCGTCAACATCTTCTTCCACGTCGCCTATATCTAAAATATATACATTCCCAGCAAACAATTGACGTCTTTTAGACCGTCTAAAATTGGTCTAATTTGTATCTATTGCCGATACGTATATTTTAGACGTATATTAGAGATCGAAAAGACGTCTGATTCTAGAGATCCTTTTTTTGCTCTGTTTTAGATGCATATTAGATGCATAAAATAGATCGTGCATAGATAATTTTTTTTTTTTTATCTAAACTTAGATGTCTATAAGATGTCTTTTATAGATTTGTTATAAAAATAAGAAAAAAAATTTAACTAATTTTACGGAGCGATAATTATAAATGACCGCCATTTAAAAACCATGCGGAAACTTATTTCGAAAAAAGCATGAAGATTTTAACCTATGGAAGACATCAATCATTATTTCTTTTGATAAATTTTAAATAATAAAATATCATGCTATTATAGTTCACAAAATATTTTGATGATTTGATGCTTAGCATGTTTGCTAAAATCTTTGTGATTTGAAATTTATTTTGCAGAAATATTACAAAATTAATATTTTCAAGTTGATATTTTTATTTCTAGAATAAAAGATAATGTAATTAAAATATATGTATATATATATATATATATATATATATATATATATATATATATATATATATATATATATAACGATAAGTGCACAACCAATAAAACAATCTTTTGTGTTATTGAAAAACACTCATATATATATATATATATATATATATATATATATATATATATATATATATATATATATATATATATATATATATATATATATATATATATATATTGTTTTATTGGTTGTGCACTTATCGTTTTTATCGAGGAACCAAGATTCATTTATGTCTTTTACAAAAAGGGCATACGAAAAGAAACGCAGTAGACGTGTCCAAAAAGAATATTAAAAAATACTAGAATTTTCATCAGTACATATAGAAAAAAAATCGAATGTTGGAACTTCTAAAAGAAATGATTTCTTTTCTTGCGAAAATCTAAAAGAATATTTTGACCATCATGAGTCATCGAAATTGTACAATGAATACTTTTTTTTTTTTTTTTTTTTGTTTGTTCTTATTACAATTTTATTTGGTATAATATCGTTTTACATAAAATAAAAAGAACACGGAAACTCGAAGAGGATGGCAAGATCCTGTCACCGAGAACCGTTTAACAATGCGATACAAAATAAATAAAAACAAAATACCGATATTTACAATACAAGATTTTTAATAAGCCAAAACCAAACATAAAATACCGTTAAAAAATGTCAAAATATGTAATAAAACTAAATATTTAAATAAAATATTCAAAAAAACTTGAAGATGTTATCAATTGTCAAAATAACTTTTTTCAGGTTATTTTTGAAAGTAAGAAAACAACAATTTTTAGAAAAATCAAAGTTTTTTAACACTATTTGGTTCCACAGAAAAGCTCCGCGATATCATATAAGAGATTTTCCAAAATTTGTGTGCGAGTAATGTTGATGAGTAAGATTGTCATTTCTTAATTCATATTTGTTTCTTGGCTTTATTGCATATAAATTTTGAAAAAATATTGGGGTTAAGTTTATCTTACATTTGTACATAAAGCAAAGAACATTAAAAACATTTAGTTGATATATATTAAGAATATTCATGTCTATTAAAAGAGGTTTTGCATGAGTATAACGATCTTTAAAATTTATTAGACGTGCTAGATGATTCTGTTGCCGATAAAGAGGTTCTAATTGACTATTACCCAGACAGCAAGCTTACATTGGACCAATGTTGGGCCAATGCATGGTGATGCATTGGCCCAACGTTGAAAGTCGATGTTGGCCCAATGCAGGTTTGATCATTGGTTAGGTATTGGCCCAATGTTGTGTACAACATTGGCCCAATGTTGTATACAACGTTTACCCAACATTGGCACAACGTTGTATATAACGTTAGGCCAATGTTGTATACAACATTGGCCCAACGTTGTATACAAAATTGGCCCAATATCGTATGTTATACGATTATTATTTTTATATTGGCCTAACGTTTTATGCAACATTAGATCGTTGTTACAAATAAGATGATTTGCATCGCTACATTGAAAAATTATAGAGAAAAAAAAGAATGTATTATACAAGTATAAATATACATATTGCTAACACCAAACTTATACCAAAAACTGACACATTGAGTTTTAAATAAAAAAATTCACTATAAAATTTATAGAGCAGTTTCGATATTGACTGAGCTACTTGTTATTGAATCGTGTTTAGCTTATGATATTTGGTGCCCACGATTATTATTTTTTCTTCCGCTATCTCTATAACATGTCTGCATAAGCCATGCTTAATTGACTTCACAGTTTCTGCAAAAAAAAATAGTTGTTTGTTTAATTATGCACCAAAGAAACATAACAAATAGCAAGTAATTCTGTAATACAAAATTGAAACTGAAAAAATAAACTTTTCTAAACCACTTACCAATAGCAGCATATGCAATCAACATTTTTCCTATTCCAATTTTTTATCCTTTCCCTGCATAATTTAATTTTACAGCTAGACCATTTTAATAAACTATTCTTAGTAAATAACAAATACAATCTCCTTCGTCTTTAACTCCAATTTGTGCCAAATAATTAACTTGCAAAAATACACAGCCTGGCAGTAATTAAAGTAACTTTAGTTTAGACTTAAATTAATATAAAATGTCATTTACAAAAAATCTTCAAAGAGTATTTTATTTAAAGTATATAAATTGTACTACATATCATACTAAATGCATAAACAGATCATAAAAAAATATTTACCATTTACTGAAGTATTTTCTTGTCTTTTTTCTTCCTGAGTACTTGAATTCTTCACTGCTTTTAATGGCAATGACACTCCTTCAGGCAATACAATAATTAGCATACCTTTGATACTCAAATTTTTATAACTGAATTTGATGTATTTTGTTGTTCACCAAGTTGCACTTCAATGCTTGCCCATTGTGCCAATAATACCAGTATATCTTGCAAGGATACAACTTTATCTTGAAACAATAAAGTTAATTATATTATTAAGAAACTATACAACTAATTATATATTATATTTAGAATTTATGAAAGTAAATACAATAATCACTTATAAAACAGATAAAATTAAAGACAGAGGGCCAAACTTTTAATGATTAAAATATATACTTGCTAATGGATTCATAATATTTTTATGAATTATGAAATTTGCAGGTGTGCATTCAATTTCTGGGACTGACACAAAACATTGATCATGATCTATCGTATCATGATCAATGAAAACGCTAAGAGTAAATTGTGATTTTTCAAACGAATCTGCAATATTTCTTGTTAAATGAAGTATTGCGTGTTCAGTGGAATTATTATTTTTAAATCCATATTGACTGGTATTTAATATTTTATTTTTAGAAAGATGATCATACATTTTATTGTAAAGAATCCTTTCAAAAACTTTTGAAAAACCAGAGAGTACAGAAATTGGACGATAATTAGTTATATTTGATAGTTCCCCTCCTTTAAAAATTGGTGAAACTTTGGCGATCTTTAGTTGGTCAGGAAATATCCCCTGTTTTATTAAACAACTAAACACTTGGAAAGAATAGTTTTTATGTTCTCATAAGATGCAATTAAAATGTTACTATTTATTCCATCCGGGCCTTTTGCTTTATTGGTTTTTTAGCATTTTGTAAGCACATTCAAATTCTTTTATGGAAATTTCAAAATTATTTAGTACGGAAATTATGGGAAGGGTAAAATAATTTGTTGAGTTATAATTGGAATATTTTTAGCTAAGTTTGGACCAACATTTATAAAATAGTTATTTATCTGATTTGCTATATCTTTTGGATTATTTAAAAAAACATCATTGTTTTTAATAACTTTTGTAATTTCATTTAAAATTTGCCACGTGCGCTTTGAGTTATTTTTAAACTTCTCTAGTAAGTTTGAGTAGTATTTTTTTTTTAAGTTTTTTCTTTGACATTCAAAATGCTTTACGTAAGTTTTATAAATCTCCTTATTTTTATCAGTTTTGGACTTTAAATACTTTATATATAATTTTTGTTTAACTCTGGACGATTTTCTAAGTTCTTTTGTAATCCATGGTGACTTAATACTTTTTTTTGTAAGACTTACTTCGTATAGAGGAAAGTTTGCGTCATAAACTTCATAAAATGTTTTAAAGAACGAGTTATAAACTAGATTTGCTTCAGATGAGAAATTTATGTTTCCAGTGTAGTAATGATAGTTGTTCATTAAACGACATTAGATTTGCTTCACTGAAACATCGTTTAAAGAAAACTTGATTTGTTATCGGTACTAGCTCAATGTCAATATTTACTGAGAAAAAAATCGGAAAATGATCAGAAACATCACTTTTAATTAAACCCTTTTTGATGGATTCATTAAAAGTATCCGTTGTCATAATGTTGTCTATTAAGGAAGCAGAATTTGAAGTTACCCTTGCTGGTTTATTGATTAACGGAATTGCGCCGTTTTCAAATAAATCGTTATAAAACCCATTTATTTTGTAATTTACATGATAATTGAATGCGTTTAAATTTATGTCACCAATTATGTAGTTTAATTTCTTTTCTATTGTAGTTTTTTTTATTATATCGGTAATTAAAAATGACTTAAAACTATTTATTTCACCAGATGATGATATACTCTTATGACAAAAATCCTAATGAGTATAACCCAACTTTAAAGGGAAGTTTTTCTGCATGTTTTTCTAACCAAGTAATGTTGCACTAAACAAGTGGATTGACAAAGAATAGCAACAAATTTATTGTCCCAAAAAAAAACTATAATCATGCATTGAAAAACAACCTTTCGTCAACAAAAGAACGGCACAAATTTCCGTTGATAAAGTGTAAGATAACAGATAGTCAGTATCTAACTTGTTTTGTGTTTTTTTTTAAAGGTAACTTAATTACTTTTTTGTAGCAAAATGTTTTATAATAAGATTCATTTTCATGTTGTGAAGAATACAACTTTCTACATCAGATGTATATAAGAATAACAAATCAAACCGCTCTTTATTGCCAGAACCTATTATGAATAAACCCAATGCTAAAAGTATAACACAAATATCATAATTTTTTCTTAATGGTTTATAAACTGAAATATATTCTTTTTTAATTTGATCTGAATAATATCTATCTAGCTATTAGTCTTTTTTATGTATTACTAAGATTTTCCTTTTATTCTAACTATTTGGGTGTCCTATCATATGTAATGTTGTTAAATTGGTTACATATATTTATATCATTGACAACATTCTATTGTACTAAATAATCCTTTAATCAACTTGATATGAAAATTGAAAAGTGATTGAAAGCATGCTGAAATTGTTTAAATTTAGAAATTGAAAGAGTACAAAATTGGTTGAAAGATTAAATTAAGTAACAGGTATGGTTGAGGGATTATTTATAGTTCTAATTATAATTATTTCTTTTGAATAGAGTTGTTATCAGATTCAAAGATTGAAGAAGATAATTTTTCTTCACATTTTATTTATGAACAGAATAAAACCAAGCAAAGTTCACATTGTCAAAGAATTTCAAGTTTTAATATGAGTATTTTTGGTTTTTACACTACTGAATGTTAATGTGGAGGTCTTTTTTATTAATTTGTTTTTGTTTTAAAATACTTGTAAAAGATAGGTATAAAAGAATAGAAATGGATTATTTATAATATTGTGATCCGATAAATCATGTGTGTAGCATTTTACCTTTAGTAGTTAAACAAAATTCTTTAATATCGTAACCTTTTACAGAATAAAGTTTTAGCTGATTTAAAAAGTAGGTTTTCCAAAATATTATGGCAACTTCTGCGATGTAGTAATAAAAAAACTTACATGTATTTTCGGAATTTTAGTTTGAGTTACTCAAGCATAATTTGAATTTTAAAGTTCTTATTTCATTGTTTTGCTATTTGGTTTTATGAGCTAAATATGTTAATCAATCTTTTTATTCTTGTTTGTAGAGATGCAAAAAGTTATTCTCAAGGAGCTTGCAGAAATAAAAGTTCTTTTAAAAGAAGTTATAGAAATTAAATTTCAGGCTACTGAGGTGAAGTTGCTAGAATCAGTGGACGGAGTGGTTACACTGGATAATAAACTAAAAGATAAAACCGAGTACACTAATTTGGTATAATCTAATTATCTTAATTTTTAATAAGTTTGTTTAAATTTGCTTTACTAGTTTAGAATCTAAATAAAAAGTATTTGTAAATGAACTAAAAGAACTAGCTTGTGTTAGACATAATTATTAGAAATATGGTTAAAAGGGACCAAAAAGTGCCCCTAATTTTATACGTCTTAAAAATGAAACGAACTATACTACCACAGCAAACATTTCAGGAGTCTGGAGTTATAGCATGCCATGATATGAGCAATCAGCTGACAGGTGACAGCACACAGGCAGAATTTCGTTGACAAGTGCCATTTTGCAGCATACAAAACAAGTGCAACTTTTTTGGTTTGTTTCATTTTCTCAAGTCTGGTCCGTGTCAACGTCACGGAAGTTTTTTTAATAATTAAAGTATCCAGGAGTTTCCAGAAGCATGCAGAAGCTTCCAGAAGTTTCCAGAAGAAGCATCTGAAAGCATCTGGAAGCATCCAGAAGTATCCAGAAACATTTAGAAGCATTTAGACGCACCCAGAAGCTTCCAGAAGTATTGAAAAGAAGCATCTAGAATCTTCCAGAACAGGTTCACACAGGTTCATTTTACTATATATGAGACATGTAATTCAGTCAGTATATGGAAGTCAATCAGTCAGTATTATCAAGACAGTTTATCGTGAGTGAGTTTTATCAAAGTGTTTTATAGAAGAACATCAATACCAGAAGTGAAATACAACAAGTGTTTCATTACATTAATACAGCCCACATCCAACCAAGACGTTATGTTCCACAGAGCAATATTTTATCATCACAAGGTAAATGTAACACGGTAAGCCTTGAGAAGCGTGGTTATTTATTTTTATTATTTTTATGACTTCAAGTGCAAAAATGGTTACCGACAGTCTTGGATTGGAACTAAGAGAGAAAATTATTTGCAGTTACTTAAGTGGAATGTCACAAAAAAGTATTTGTGATAAATATCGCGTGAAAAAATAGATCGTATCAAGACTATGTTCCAAATATTATTCCACAGGGAAGTTGGCAGCAGATAACAAAGGTGGAAGACCTCGTTCCACACCTTCTAGAGAAAATTTTATGATCATCAGACCTGTCTAGAAGGATCCCTGGATATCATCAGTTGAGATACAAAAGCAATTAGAGCTGCCTTTACGTCAAGCGGGCAGAAAACGCCTTGATTTACGTTACTGCCATAAGACCGTGAAGCATGTTGGAGGCAATGTAATGGTCTGAGGGTGTTTTTCTACTAACGGTCTAGGTCCAATACACGAATCGATGGAATAATGGACCGTTTCATGTATAAAAATATCCTGAAAGATGTTATGTTACCTCATGCTGAATTGAATATACCAATAAAATGAGTTTCTCAGCAAGACAACGATCCCAAAAACACTGCAAAAGTAGTCAAGCAGTGGTTTCAAGACAACCATCTATTGGTGATGGATTGGCCGCGTCAATCTCCGGATCTCAACCCTATTGAGAACCTGTGGGAGAACATTTTGTGGAGTTGCACTTGTTTTGTCCAGAAGGAAATCAACTTTTTTTAATACTTTTGATTAATTTATTAATTTTCGTGTACAAATAATGAACTTTGTAATGAATAAAATTTGAAGAACGTTGTCTCTAAACAGTTACATAGTTATTTCTCTAAATTGAAAAAATGCAGCATGTTTATACAAAGAAACTAAATTAGCATCATTTGGTTGGACTGGTTATGTCCGATACTGTATGTGTGTATATATATATATATATATATATATATATATATATATATATATATATATATATATATATATATATATATATATATATATATATATATATATATATATACATATATTTTAATTACATTATCTTTTATTCTAGAAATAAAAATATCAACTTGAAAATATTAATTTTGTAATATTTCTGCAAAATAAATTTCAAATCACAAGGATTTTAGCAAACATGCTAAGCATCAAATCATCGAAATATTTTGTGAACTATAATAGCATGATATTTTATTATTTAAAATTTATCAAAAGAAATAATGATTGATGTCTTCCATAGGTTAATATCTTCATGCTTTTTTCGAAATAAGTTTCCGCGTGCTTTTTAAATGGTGGTCATTTATAATTTTCGCTCCGTAAAATTAGTTAAAATTTTTTTCTTATTTTTATAACAAATCTATAAAAGACATCTTATAGACATCTAAGTTTAGATGAAAAAAAAATTATCTATGCACGATCTATTTTATACATCTAATATGCATCTAAAACAGAGCAAAAATAGTATCTCTAGAATCAGACGTCTTTTCGATCTCTAATATACGTCTAAAATATACGTATCTGCAATAGATACAAATTAGACCAATTTTAGACGGTCTAAAAGACGTCTATTGTTTGCTTGGTAGAAGGTAGAAATTTTTTTTCTTTTTGAAGGTAGAAATTTCTTTCCTTTTTTTTAGAGAGTTTTTTAAATACGAAAGTTATGATTTAACGGCAAATTTTCAGCAACAACAACAACAACAAAAAAAAAATCATAAAAAATTTCTTTTTCATTGTGTAATTGGAGTGAGGAAACTACAGGTTTAGGTCTAACCAGGTTAGACAAAAGTACGGCCGAAAACTTAAAAAGTAGATCAAAAAAAAATTTGTAGAACTATGATTCTTGAACGAATATCGTAAAAAGGAGATCTTAAGAAAAATAATGTCGAACTTATTTATAGAAGTAATAAAATTTAAATAAATTTATATAGTGCAAAAAACACAGAACAGGAAAAAATTGAAACTGATGAACTAAGCTGTAGTAGTTATGGCTGATGACACAACCCGACGGGCATTTGTTTTTAAAAGTTACGTTCTGAATGTGTTTTAAATGTCTTTTAAACGTCTTTTAAACATTAATGTTTAAAAGACGTTTAAAAGACATTTAAAATACATTTAGATCGTAACTTTTAAAAAGAAATGCCCGTCGGGAACCTAGTCACAAATAAAACAAAAAAGCGTAGTTAACATATGCATTTCAATAAAGCAGGTCGGAACTTCAAGTCTCATCGAATATTTGACAACTGAATAATTGGTACTTCGGCCAACGAATTGGTACTTCGGCCAAGCGCCTAGCCAAACATTAGGTATTCGGTATTCGAAAAAAAAGAATGGTTTAAAACCAGTGATAATGTTTGGTTGAAACCGTCATATGTCTCTAAAATACCTTGGTCGATGTTTGACCAAGGTATTTTTATAGAATTACAGAAAATTCTAAATTACTTGATAATGAATATGTGATACACTTGATGATAAATATGATGAATACATTAATCCACTAATATTAAAAATAGTTACTAAATAAAAACTTTTTTCAAACCACATAAGTTTGCAATTAAAAAAGTTTTATTTAGTAAGTATTTTTAGTATGTTTAAGTGGTTTTTAAAGTCAATATTAGTGGATTAATGTATATTTTTGCGTGAAAGATTTGTGGATTCACATATTTTTGCGTGGATTCACATATTTTTGCGTAAAAAATCTGTGAATTCACATATCTTTGCGTGAAAAATCTGTTGATTTACATATTTTTACGTGAAAGTATGCAAAAGTAGGAAATTTTTATTTTCTGTAGAAAGTTTGAAAACAAAAGATCTTTATTTTCTTGTTTAAAGAGCGAGAAAAAAACTCTTAAAAAACTTTATCTCACTCCTGTTTTGTTTTTAAAGTTATTACTCATTTAAACTTTTCTATGCCTATCCTGTGGTCTGGACAATACTCTTGTCCAGACTTCTACAAAATTGTTTTGACAGTTGAACTTTCGTTTCTGCCTGCTGAAAAATAGGACATGTGGTTTCAATTTTTAAAAATTTTCTGACTCCTCTAGTTATTGCTCAATTTTTTTTATTGCTTGTTATTTTTTATTACTAAGTATTTGATTCTTTTATTAAAAATCTTCTAATATCTTATCTGGCATGTTAGAACTTTTAATATTTCAAAAATTTTATAGTAAAATTTTGTTAATTTGAACTCTGGATTTGTCAGAATTTTACTAGGTTAGACAGATTTTTAATTTCCCGCGAACTTTATTCATTAATTTAGTATAAAATTATCCGTTTAAGTCGTAACCTGGTTAAACCAGATCATTTGCTAAACTGTAAAGTTTTTTTGGATTTCTTCAACCAAGAATTCGCTTAACTAGGACTTTTATTTTGAATTACTTGAGTTACATGTGTTTCATAAGTGCATAAAATACGGAAAAAAAAAGTTTAAAAACTTTAATAAACATTCGAACGTTCAAAACTAATTAAATACCTTGATGTCAAATATAGTTCAAATAACTAAGCGTTTTCACAGACAACTTCAATTCCAATTCCTTTTAAAAAAATCTATTTATTAAAATAAAACTTCGAAGATTGCTAAAAAAAATCTCAAAACAAGAAAACTGACGCAAAAATACAACATATTAAACGTTGACAATTTAGAACTAACTGCACCCATATAAAAGAAATATAGCATATCAAAACAAGTTAATTTCCAGAGTCTCGGTGGCTAAAAAAACGAATTAAGTTCCAGAGTATTGTCTCGGTGGCTAATAAAAAACAACAACAATGTGTTTAAAAGTCAAAAAAAGTAAAACTTTTGTAAAAGTAGTCTTGGTGCTAATCTTCCTACATGAGGATTTGGAGAATTGGATTTAATAATTTTAAAACATTTAATAGGTGGTTAGATAGGTTGTATTTCATTATTTTATTGTACATAGTTACAAACATACACATTATTAAGAAGTTCTTCTCCTAAATTATCAATGAAATAATCTCATCGCCCAAATTTAATCATTTTTCAATCAATTCGTTGTGTTTTAATTTGTTAAAAGTTGAATTGGAAACCTGCAGTAAAAGATTCATGCAATTTAATCGCTTCATTATCTCGACTGATTAACTTAACTAATTGCTTTCATTACTTCATTGCCATTCGTAAAAACAAAACCCTGAAACATAATCATATAGAGTTACTTTTGACTTGAATTGTTTTTTTTTTATTTAGATGAAGGCCAAAGTGTTACAAATGGCTACTCTTTGCAGATAGTACTTTTTCGTTACGGTTCACGTGATGTATTCAATACTGTATATATTAAATACAAATATGTATTCAACACCAATGAATTTTGTTTAAATAAAGCTCTTCTAACAAAAGTTATGCATTTGAAAAGTGAGAAATGCAGTGCAAGCAAGAGTTGTAAGATTTTTCTGATTGGAGTTGCTGCAGTTAATACGTGTGCAAAAAAATTAGTACTAAAGTATTATATTTGGCAGCACTAATTATGGTTAAAAAAATCCAAAAAATCTTTAGAAAATTGATCCTGCAAGCAAAATCATGGCTGCAGGATCATTTTTGGTGCAGATAGAAAAAAAATGTTTTGTTTTAAAAAAAAACTCTTTTTTTGTATTTCACCGAAAAAAAACACATCGTTTTGTTTGCAAAAAGAAGTTCATTCTGAACCTCTTTTTAGAAAATTTAAAGCCTTTAATGTCCTCTTCTTGGAAAATTTAATGTCAATTTAATATACGTCAAATTGTACTCTTAACTCGTGTTTAAAACAAGACATAAATTTTCTCCTAGTATTTTTAGGTCTTATTTTAGTAAAATCTCTCACAAACACGCTACTAAATTTTTAATTAAAAACTTTTTTGTTCCAAAAACTGTAAAAGAGGATTGGTTATAAGGCATTTATTGTTTTCTTCTCGCTCCAGCTATCTTATATATTCATGTAATTTATTTTATTTTAAATGATATTACACAACAAACAAAAAATCTACTTTTCTATAGTGTATTTTTCAGAAATGGTACGAATACCAACTTTTTGTTTGTGCGTACAAATATCAAATAAAGGTGTTTCTGAAACAAAATTACTGTCGCAACTTGCTGGACAAAAAATTCTTTAACATTGGATATTCTTATAATGTCAATTAAAACTTTTATAAGGATAATAATATAATAGCAACGAAGGTTAAGCGCATCATACACGTACAAAAAAAAAGCGCCTTGAGACTAGGTTGGGATGTCTTACGAAGCTACCCCAATTTTAGAAAAGTTAAAGTGAATATTTGTGTTGATTCAATGCAGAATTATTACGGCATGGTAATCAGAAATAACATAATTTTTTATGGAAGCAACAAAATTTTATTTTTTATAATAAACTTTATTTACCTGCTTTATTTGCCTGATTTGCTTCATTACTATGAACGTTATATATTATTATTATTATTATTATTATTATTATTATTATTATTATTATTATTATTATTATTATTATTAGTATTACGTTATGAATTATTATTATTATGTTGATTTATATATTTGTTAAACACCCACTATACAAGTAAGGTAAATTAAAGTTTCGTCAGGATAAACAAAAAAATCTTTGGTTAAAGTTTTTTTTTTCTTTTTTCTTTTTTTCTCAAGATTTTCTTTCAAAAATTAATTAAGAATCTTTTGATTATTAAATTTTAAAAATTTTTAACTTTCGCAGAAAGTCTAGAAGATTGGGATTTAAAGCAATCACATTGTTATCCGAAACGTCAAGTTCTTCAAGATTTTTTAAATTATCGAGTTCTTTCGGAAGATAATTTATCTTATTTTTAAATAATGTTAACACTCGAAGTTCTTTTAAATGCTGTACGGAAGGAAATTCATTTAAACAATTACCATCCAAATTTAATATCTCTACATTTTCTAAAGCATTACAATTTAATACAAACCTTTTAATTTCGTTATAACTAAAGTCAATTTTTTTAAGTACCTTCATGTTTGGCATAGTAACCGGCACTGACCAAATTCTATTACAACTGAGATTTAAAATTTGAAGACAATTTAAGGAAAATATTTGCACCGGAATAAACTGAAAGTTATTGTTGCACAAATTCAATTCGGTTACGCTTGCAAAAGATGTTACTTCATTTGGTAAAATTGTGAGATAGTTTGAATTCAATCGTAGCACTTTAACTTTTTTATTAACTTTGGTTAAAGTTGTTTTATGTAAATGGCGTATCTCTTTCATACTCAAATCAAGTTCTCTATCGCCTTTTTTGTTTTTTTTTACATTTATTTTTAACCTTTGATTAAAAATAATTTCCTGCTCGTTTTGTTCGACAACACTAGTGCTTAAAACAAAGTTTCCTTTGCGATGTAGATCTGATTTCATTTGGCCCATATAACTTAAACTGAGAATCAATACAAAACAAGAAGTTAATATGATAATTCTAGAAACTTTGTCACCTTCAAAGTTTGTAAAGTAAAAGTAAATTTTAATTTTCTGATCGTAGATCGATTAACGTAAACGATTGTTATAAAATTAATATTAACAATTATCTCCACTTTAATGATTTTATCTCCACTTTGATGATGAGAACTAATATTTCCATTTTTTCTCGATTATTTGAAAAAACTTAACACCGTTTAAAACACGCGGTTTTCAATTTTTTTAAAAAACTTCAATTGGTTTATTATATTGAAGAAATTGATGAAGCTGTTTTACTCATACAATTTTTTTGAAAAAACGCAAAAATGCTCGTGAATCTTTAATAAACTAATGGAATTAATATTTCTATTGAAAAAAAGTTGTTATAAAAATATTGTTGTAACGTCATATCAAAACACATTTACTTAGAATTTTTAAATTTTCGATATTTATTAAATGTTATGCAAATTTGTAAATTATGACTGCAAATGTATATAGATAATAAAAAAGCTAATGTTTAAAAAAAAAAGAAAATTTATTAAAAAGAAATGGGAATTGGATGTTCATTGCACAATGCGAAGAGTCATCAATCAATAAGTGCCGAGGCAAAAAACAGACAAAGTCAAAAATTTTAGCAAATAAAACTTAATGAGTTTGTTATTTTTATATTTTTCTTCTTTTATTTATTCAAAACAAGTTTTAAAATATTGTATAAACAAATTGCAAACGCTTAAATAATAAATTATTTAAAGGTTTTCATAAATTCAAAAACGTGGATAACTCGATGAAGACCACGAGGTAATCGAGAACCTTTGCGAAGTGGTTAATACGTAAATAGACGTTAAATATAATCAGATATTTTCTGGACAAATTAAAATTTTACTTTACGTTTAGCATAAAACAAATATAGATAAACAAAGAAAAAACTTTTCAAAGTACATAAGTATTTAAAATATAAGTTTTATAGACTTCTTTAAACTTTTTTAAAAATAAGTTATAATTTACAAGAAATATTAAATATTAAGTCAATTTTTTTCCGCAGATAAGCTACACGAAATGATATACAAGATTTGCCAAGATTTGTTTTTAAAAACTGTGGTATCAGAAAATTATTTTTCTATAAATCGTATTTGCTTTTTTAATTTTATTTATACATAGGTTACGAAAAAAAGTGGAAATAGTTTTGTTTTATATTTGCACTTAAAAGAAAGATTTAGAATCAATACAATTGTATACTACAAGTTGAAATATATTTAATACATTAATTTTCTTTAAGAGAAGTTTTCTAAGAAATAGTAGATGACATGAATTATCTAAAGGTACTACATCTTTCTTTTGATAATAAAAAGAATCGAATTTGTTTTGTTCTTGCTGCCCCAGGGATATCGACAAAGTTAATATGGCAATAAATAAGTTAAAAATACAAGTGAGTGTACGCGTATTTAATTTGAGTGTACGCGTATTTAAATAGTTTTGATTTCTATAACACTCTTATGCTTTTTGAAAATTTTTTGTTGTATTTTTGTTTTGTTGTGTTTTTGTTTTGTTGTGCATGTTTTGAAAAACTTAAATATTATAAAATCACTTTTTATTATTACAAAATCTCTTTACATTGCATCTTTAATTGTTCTCATCAACTGGTATAATTAAAAAAAAGTCAAAAAATTCCACGAGTCTTAACTATTTTCAGACTCTTCAAATTACCGACCAATATCAGTTCTACCATACTTGCCAGGTTCTTTAAATTAAAGACCAGAATCAGCTCTACCATACTTTTCTAAGTTACTCAAACGGCTAATGTATAATATACATAACAGCTACTTTAACGGTAAATAACATGTTGTACAACTAGCAACTTAAAAAAAATTGTTCAAGTGACTACGCTTTAACATAGCTAGAAACAAATAGTAAGGATTTTTGTAATAAACTCTTGCACGAATCTTTCTTATCTTCTAATAATTATTAAACCTTGCGAGTACTTCAGATAAATCATCATCCGAGTGCATTCATAGTTTGTATCAATTAAATAGTGAGCTGTTATCTTCTGTAGGTTCATTTAACAATGTACAGTGGTTCAGATAGTCACAGTGGTAACATAGTGGTCAATTTTTAGGCAAAAATTAAATCTTTATCATTTTTTAAGCTAAAGCATTAAAATGTTTGGTGTTTATTATAACCTAATCTATTATAATTATTACTTTAATATTCTTTACCATGCCTCTGATAGGCACACCATTAATACAAAACTAAGGAAAATAAAAATAATAAGTATTTGTTTCATACTTAATTTTCAATGCTAGTAGCATGTAATAAATGCCTTAAATGATGATTTACATTAGTTTTGATTGATTGTCTAAAGCATTATTTGAGTATAGGCTCTCGCTTAACGTTAAAAAATTAAATTTATTCTAATTCACAAGCCAAATAAAACCAAATAATTTCCTTAATAACTACCTGATCTTAAAATAAATGATACAATTTTTTTCTAGAAAAACATCTGTAAACTTCTTAGATGCTATTTTAGACAAAATGTTGTTATGGAGGACTCATATAAACACTCTTAAAAGGAAAATTTCAATGAGTATTGCGATAATGTATAAAGCAAAGCCATTATGAAATATTAAGTCTTAAATAAGTTTATACTTTTTCTTTATATATAGTTATTTAACTTTATAAATAGTTATTTCAGCATACTACAAATTAAAATGTCAGTATGTTGTTTCTTTGCATTATGTTAAATTTTCAATATATCTTTAAATAAAAATCCATATGATCGGAAACATTGGCTTAAGTGAGAACTTGCATAAGTGTGCAAGCTCGCATTTGCATGATTACAAACTTGCATAAGTGAGAATTGGCATAAATGAGAAGCAATTGCTAAAACTAGCATAAATGCAAAATATCATAAGTAAATTACAAGTGCAAACTAGCATGAATGCGCCGAAATATTTTGCAAACATTGGCATAAGTGCGAATTAGCAAAGCAGTTGCAAAAACCATCATAAGTTCAAAACGGCATAAGTGCGCCACAAAAATAGAATAAGTGGGAGTTAGCAAATCTTCATAATTGCAAATCTTCATAAATGCAAATCTTCATAAATGCAAATCTTCATAAATGCAAATCTTCATAAATGCAAATCTTCATAAATGCAAATCTTCATAAATGCAAATCTTCATAAATGCAAATCTTCATAATGTAATCAATGTAATCAAAAGTGCAAATCTTCATAAATGCAAAGCAAAATATGTTATATGCACAACTTGGCATATGTGCGCCAAGAGAATTTAAAAACTTTGACATAAGTGCAAATCTTTATGCTTATGACGCATTTTTGCTGGAATAAATGCCATTAAAAGTCATTCCAACATAAAAGTCATAGTCAATAAGTCACACATATACCCAATGGACAAAAATGCCAATTTATGCTTTACACTTATGCCAGTTCGCACCTATGCCAATATTTTCAAATTCCTTTGACTCACTTATGCCAATTTGCACCTGTTTGCATTTATGCCAGTTTTTGCAACTCCTTTGGACTTATGCCTGTTTGCACTTATGAAATTTGTATTTTTTCAACACCCGATCTAAATTTATGTTCTTATTCAATTTAATACTATTTTGTCAAAAAAAAATTTCATATTGTAAATATCAAAGAAAAAACAATTCTGCAATTCAAATTTAAATCAAGAATTTATTTAGTATTTAGAGATTTATAATATAGTAAAAGTTCTCGATGAAAAAACTTCACGTTACCTTCTGCAAGTTTCTACAACTACATTATTTCAATTCATAAATAAATATTTTCAACGACAACCACAAGCAGGTCTCTAGTAGCCCAGTGCTGCGATAAACTTGTGTATACTTTTTAAATGCCTGGGTTCGCGATAGTTAGCCATAGTTTGTTAATAATTATAACTTGTCTTAGCACATACTTTCAATTAAAAATAAATGTTTTATATTTAGAAATAAAAAAAAAGATAAAACAATGTTTTTATATTTCGAAATAGCCAGCACTTTATTATAAACCATGAGTTTTTAAATTAATTATTTTAACCCATTGTCAAACTTTTTTAGTTCTTGTAAATATGTGTGGAGTACACATATATAAACTATATAAACTGAAGACATGTAAACATGACTTTGTTGAAATATATAATAATGATCGTTGTAAAAAAAAAAAATGTAAAAATTGAACTTGTCAGGATGGTTAAAATCTTGTGAGGATGGTTAAAATACTATCTTAATTATAAAATTTGTCAAATTAAAATTGACATGACTGGTTTTTGTTATTTTAACATATTTCTATTGAAAAGTGTTTATAATTAACCGTTACCCAAGTTAAATTTGATTAAATCCGTAACGGAGTATTTGATCAAACTATTTTTCGTCTTAAAGTGTTTTGTGTATATTTATATGGAATGGTGAGATCCGGTACAGTGAATCAATATGTATCATTTAGTTTTTTTAAATAAATTTATAATTCTTATCACATTATTTTTAATAACAAGTTTTTGAAGATATCTCAAATCTATAGGACGCTAGATGTGAAATTAAATCTCACATCTGGCCTCATCGCTGCGTCAAGACGAATGCACAAACAAAAGTTGATCTATTTGCTTTTACGAACTTCAGAGAAAAAGTCGACTGGGTTTTAGACAAAAAACAGATTATTTAAGATAACAAGACAAGTCTGGGGCAGTGGCGGATTAAGACTTCTTGGGGCCCCGGGAGGCCTTTTTATAGGCAGAGCCTAAAAATGACTTAAAAAAAAAAATTCCTCTAAAATTTTTGGGGACCCCTAAATTTGCGGGGCCCGGCGCTATAGCCCTCTCTAGCCTCCACCCCTTGATAAAATAAGAATATAATAAAAAAGAATATTCTCACTCAATAATTACAAATATTATAATTTTTTAGATAATTTTGTTAATTTATTTTTAGATTTAAACTTTTTCTTTTTAATCTACATACATGATATATTTAAGAAATTTCAAGATATATAAAAGAGATTGCATTTGTGAAGAGCGAAAGTTGTTAAGCATCACTAGTGTCGTGGTTAGAGTTCTGGCTTGAGAATTGGAGGTTCGTAGTTCAAAGCTAGTTCTGGACATGCATCATTAGGAAGGAGGCGTGAACTTCCTGGTTAAATACTATTCCGTGGTGCGCTATAATAAAAACAACTTCTTGGAGCACCTAAATAAATAAAAAAAACAAACAAACAAAAAAAAGGCATATAATCTAAAAATAAGAGAGGCTTTGGGATATTTCATAATTAAGTATTTATTTTTTTTAAATACTTTTAAAAGTTTGGAAAATTTG